TATATATATATATATATATATACATACACACACATACATTCCAATTATAATATTTCCAATGACAACGATGAAACAAAGTCTCGTGAGAAAAGTCTCGCGTTCATCTCGATTATTAACCGCCATTATTCCCAGTTACTTGTTCTAAAAAACGGATCGACCATTATTTCAACGTGTCGTTTCACTCAGACTTAACATCGATCCGAGTGTGGCCTACGAGCGATCTAACTAACAGCACCACGGAGGATTCAAGTGGAGAAGTAGGTTGCTGCTGCGTTTAATACGCAAAGAAGATCGTCGGTTGTTCGAACGAAGCCAATAACGGGCTCAGACTCTCTTAATTTTAATGGAATTATTGAAATTCTCTGACGTGCCTTTGTTATTTTTACCTCGCGGTAAAAATATCGACGTTCGCGACACGTATGGGCTCCCTCCTCTCCTTTTCAACTCTCTCCTCGATTTATTATTTTTTTTTCTTTCTTTCTTTCTTTCTTTTTTTTTTTTTAAGTATGGGGAGGACAGAAGACAGTAAAGATTTTATTGCAACCTCGGTTATATATATTCGAGCACATTGGCTCGAGAATTTTACGATGTCGTGGTGGTCATCGTTCCAAGTATTTTTTTTTTGTTATTAACACGTGAATATTCTTTTCGACGTTTTTATTCCACGTTCTTTTTTCTCTCTCTCTTTTTCTCTCTCCTCTCTGTCTTCGCTAGCTTGGCTCGGTTTGCGATTCACGAAGCGTGGTGCGTGATGCAGTTTCGAGTTCGCGGAGGAAGTGGAGGAATAGAGGATGAGGACGTCGATAAGGGTGGTTAAGAAGCGATAACGTCACCGCCGGAAACTTGCTTGTTAACCCGCCGTGTAAACGGAAGTTGGCCAGCTCGATGATTAATTTAAGTAAAGAAGCTGACCAACTTTCGGAATTTCACAGTTGAAGATTCGTTTCAAACCGGTATAAATTGGCGATTTTCAGAGAGAAAGAGAGAGAGAGAGAGAAGAAGCGAGAAGAAAGTCTCGTTTCGTCTCTCGAGTATTTTAGAAAGTTGGATTTCGATCTTCGACTCGTGTTCAATTCTTCTAATTGAAATCAAATTTCAATTTTTCAATGGAATCTTCTCGGTTTTTATCCTCGTGAATTATAATTTGCTCACGTATATCATCATTATCAAAATTAATTTTTCGTTTCTATTTTTTTAAAGATATATCTATATCGAAACGAAGATATCATACACAAAGTTGTAAAAATTATTGATCTTTCGAGACTAATTTTTTTTTTTTAAGAGTAAGAAATCTTTTGATCTTATCTAATATTATTTCCTTCCTATATCTTCATCGTTTTCAAGCGATATCAAGCAATAATATTTACAAACAGCCTAACGTATTCTTCGTTTTTTCTGTTCGATCTAAAAATAAAATCTCATCAATCCCCAAACATTTCACATTTTCACGAAAATACATCTATATAATTTTACCTTTATATAATTATATCTTTTATATAATTTTATATTTTATCAAAATACGTTTATATAATTTTAATCTTATTCTCTACGATCTAAAAAAAAAAGAAAAAGAAAAAAAAAAATAGACGCTTGAAGTTTTCCTCCAAGTTCTTCTTTCCAAGAAAGAAGAAAGAAGAAAGAAGAGTAAAATATGCCTAGATGGGCGGGAAAAAAGAAAAGGGAGAAGAAAACTTACAGGATCGAAGACTAGCATCTGGCAGAGCAAATGGACGGCCTCGTGCGTCGCCTGGCTGCTAAGGGTGTAGAGAGCCGTCAACGAGGGTGGCTTCGGCGCGCGCCTCAGCATGTGGGATCTCGCACCCTCGCACGCGAACCTCATGTCCTCGAGGGTTGGCGTGCCCAGCAATTCTGTGATCAGTTCCAGCTGCAAAGCGAATGAAAACGTGCTCCATTTTAAAATATCCGCTCTCCCCTTTGCGACCGTGCGACAACTCGATGATGCACCAGAGAGAGAGGGGGAAATGAATCGTTTCGAAAAAGAGGAGATCCTTCCTTGCAACTTATGCCGATGCCTGCGAATCCTCGATGACTCTCCTCCTCAAACGTTTCTCTCACGAAATTTATCAATGGACATTTTACCATCATCCAACGCGAATAAGAATACAATACGAATTTTCGATCGAGGTAAAATTTAATTTACTTTATTATAAATATAGGATATATCGTGTGTATGTACTTGTTAAATTATCGTCCTCGCGGTATTTTTTTTTTTTCTGAAAAATATCCTTGAGAAAAATTGGTGTTAACGGTGGAAAGATGACTGACCTGTTGCACAGGGCTCTGCGCCTGGAAAAGGATCCTCCTGCGAAGGAGTTCCCCGAAAATGCAACCGACGCTCCAAACGTCCACAGCGGCCGTGTAGTGCCGCGCCCCCATCAGGATCTCCGGCGCGCGATAATACTGCGTCACCACTTCCTGGGTCATGTGCTTGTTCTGATCCGGTTCTTCCACTCGGGCCAAACCGAAGTCGCAGATCTGTTCGCCAAGAATAACGTGGTAATTCTTCTTCGTTGTTATTAAGCAGGGGGAGAGAGAGAGAGAAAGAGAGAGAAACCTCCCTCTTTTACTTCTTCCTCTTATTTCGAATCTCGTCGTTAACGAGAGAAAGGGGGTTGAATCGGGATTGCTTACCTTCAGCACGCAATTGCTGTTCACGAGTAAGTTCCCTGGCTTAATGTCCCTGTGCAAGATTCTGGCCGAGTGAAGGTACTTGAGGCCTGAAACAGAAGTGGATTCTAATTAAAAATTGTATACGATAAAGGAATTGTTCGATTCTTAGCTTTCTCCAAGATTCCAAGATTTTTTCCCTGAGTTTCGAAAAGTAAAATCTTGAATTCTTAGATTCAAAGATTCTCGAACTTCGCTCGAATTCCCGGATTTACCAAGGAAATCTTTCGAATTCCTAAATTTCTAACGTGTCCAAATTTCTAGATTGGTAAATACTTAAATGCTTGCCCGCGGAAGTTGGCCCAACAACTCGAATTCCCCGAAATCCCGAAACTTTGCAAATTAAATTTCCAATTTCCTCCCGAAAACTCTAAAATTCCCCCCTCTTTCTCCCCCCGATATATTTCAAATCCTCTCGAAATACCTTCGAAAGGATTGGCCTGGTAAAACCGGACCACGTTCCAAGACGATCAAAACTTTCCAGCTACGAGCTGGATTATTATAGTTCCCCTCTAAAACCTGGAAAGACACGAGGAGGGAGGAACGCGCGACCTCGATTTTCACAAAATTCCTCCCCTCCCCCGGGTCGTTAGAGCCCTCTTCACCCCGCTCGACAATTCTGCATACATTCACGGGAGATCATCCGCCGCGAAGATGTTCTCCAATCCGCGGCTATTATTTCCTACTTTCGTTCCAACGTGAGTGGTTTATTAATCATCGATGATCATCGCCACGTTTACGAATCGTGGAATGAGAGGGAAGTCGATCTTCGATTGTTCGTCGAGGATATTTTGTTAAGAAGGAAATATTTTATATTTTAAGAAGGAAAATAATCGAAGGAGGACGAAGTGTTATGCTGCAAACAACGTTACAAGTGTCGATTCTTGAAAATATTTGTTATTCTTCTTTCGAAGCTGGTATCGGCCAACACAATTATGATATAACGCGTATACGTGTTCGATTATTATGATTATTATTTAGAGGATACTTTCACATACTCGTCGATCGAAATAGAGATTTGAAAACGGATATTTTATAATGGGATAAATATTGCTCTCCTATCTGGGTTTTAGATTATTCGAAACCAGATTCACGACACTCCCGCCTACTCACCGACAAATAATTATCAATTTACGATATTATTGCATTTATTGCCTCTGATTATTATATCTCGGATGGTTTCGATTCGTCGAATAAACGAATGGAGAGATGCGAATAGGCGGGGTAGGGGGTAGGATGGCTCGTGGATTAAACAGGATTATTAACGTTTTATTGAACGCTGGGATAAGTGGAATCGTTGGTCCCTTAAGTGTTCGTCAAATCGACGACAAATTGCATCGAGTCGCGGAACGTCCTTGGCCGATGGTAATTTCGCACGGTGCGCGAGCCGAAAACCTGTTTTAAATTGAAATCCGGATCGAGCAAGAAACCTGTCCTTATTATCGGAAGATGGGAAATAAAGGAAAACAAGGATCCCAAGAGGGATGCTTCCGAGATTTTTATATATACAATTCCGTTCCTTCTTTCCACTCGAGAATAACGAACTCGCGAAATTAATTTTTAACTGCGAACCACCCCCTTACGAATTATACCCTTACGTTTACACACAGATTTCCAAGCTTTCGAAATTTATACAATTTTCAGATGCTCTTCCTATCCACCCTCTAAAATTTACGAATTTCCCTTCTTTGCGTTACTACAACTTTCGATTTAAAATATCGATCGAATAGAAGATCGATTGTTGACGCGCGAATTCCAGCATCGCATTTATAAAACTTTCAGATTCCCAAATTTTTTCTCTAAATTTCCCGCAAGTTCCAGCATCGCAATTTATAGAACTTTCTCTCCCTCTAAATTTGCTTTTTTAGAGTTACTACAATTTTCGATTTAAAATATCGATCGAATCGATTGTTGACGCGCGAGTTCCAGCATCGCAATTTATACGATTTTCTCTCCACCCTCTAAATTTCCTTTTTTTCGAAAAGAAGAATTCCAGCATTGCAATTTATAAAACTTTCAGATTCTCAAATTTTCTCTCCACTCTCTAAATTTCCCTTCTTTGCGTTACTACAATTTTCGATTTAAAATATCGATCGAATAGAAGATCGATTATTGACGCGCGAGTTTCAGCAATTTATACGATTTTCTCTCCACCCTCTAAATTTCCCTTCTTTGCGTTACTACAACTTTCGATTTAAAATATCGATCGAATGAAAGATCGATTATTGACGCGCAAGTTCCAGCATCGCAATTTATAGAACTTTCTCTCTCTCTAAATTTGCTTTCTTAAAGTTACTACAATTTTCGATTTAAAATATCGATCGAATAAAAAATCGATTATTGACGCGCGAATTCCAGCATCGCATTTTGTACAATTTTCTCTCCCTCTAAACTTCTCTTCTTTTCGATACTACAACTTTCGATTCAACATCGTGATCGAAAAGAAGATCGCAAAGATTCCTATCCATTAAAAAAACCCCGTTTCACGAAGTCACATTCTCGCGTTCGGCTCCCCTTATTCGCGGGGCGAAAGGCAGATGCGAAGGCAGATTGAAGGGTTGATTTGGCGCGGGTTGAATACGGGAGAGATTACCACCCCTCGAAGCGCGATTCGAGGCTTTAGGAAAAGGGGTGGTGGCGCGGATTGACTAACGGGCGACGAGTGTAAACGTTCGTGTAATCCCTTCCAAATGGACACGCGTGTCGGCTGCCAACAAACATTTCATTTCAGACGAGTCCAACGGCAGCGATAATTATTTCATTGCGAATTTGTGGCTGGATATATTAATAACGGGACGCGGAAATTTTCGCGAAAATTTCACGAACGAATGTGCCATAAAAAGTAATGTAAAATGTTAAAACACTTTACAAAGCGTGATATTTAAACAGGGGGGAGAAGGGGAGCAGCGTTTGGTTTTAATTTAGGTATTAAGTTCGATAGAGTTTTTTTTTTTTTTTTTTTTTTTTTTAATTATACTTTTGTTTATGAGTTTACCAATTAAAATTAAAACGCGCAGTTTGTTTGATGTCGAGTGAAATTTTCATTTCGAATTGCTTGCTTTTTTTTTTTTTTTTTCTTTTTTTTTTGGTCATAGCTTTAGGATAAATTACAATATAACGATATAAATGCAAAAATAAAACGAGCAATTTAAATTGTTTAGATTTAATAAAATATTAAAACCGTACGATCTCGTCATTGGTAAAATTCTTCAACTTCTGTCTATATATATATATATATTTAAATCGTGTATTAATTCAGAAGAAACGTTGTATCAACGTGGATGGATTTAATAATTACACCCTATCCTACGAATTAGCGAAACCGCGAATTCACGCGCATTAAAATTCCGCGGGAAAAACAGGAAACAACTTCGCAGGAAGTCCACTTTTAAAATCCAATTAAATTCTCGTAACGTTACGCGACCCGGAAATTCCATACTCCATTTGTATTTCTGTTTTATTTTTTAACTCTCTTCCCTTTCTCCCTCCATTATTTGCATATATCGTTGCACACACTTTATCGTAACCACGCTCCAAAATTCTAATCTCCTACTCCCTTCTCGCGAAAGAGGAACTTTGTAATCAACCCTCTCTTCCCCCTCCCAATTTCCCCCGCTCATAAATAGATAATAAAAATCCTCTTACAATAGTTTACAAGCAAAAAAAGCGCCGATAAAAAATCCGAATCCTTGCGAAAAATATATACAATATATCGGGTGGAAATTAAATATTTAACAAAACATTTCGATTTGAAAGAGATGATCGTCAAATTCTCACAGTCATCCTTTTCTCACTCATCTTCACCCATCGTCGCATCTCATCGCCGTCATCCCCCGGCAACGCGTTAAAATGCATTCCGCGGCACGTAGTAGCGCGCATTGCACGTGGGGGCGTGTGTTGTATCGGTGGAAAACGTCCCCTTTCGCCGCGTAATTATTTCTCGTCGCGCGCGAGAACCACCACCCTCGTGTCTCGTCGAAAGAAGGGGAGGGTTGGGGGAGAAAGGGACCGATCGAGCGGGTCTCAACCGCGCGAAAACGCGAGCGCCCTTTTTCATTTTCGTGCCGATGAGCGGAGGGGAAGGCAGGGAGGGAGGGAAAAGCCGGCTGTGGAGAAAGGGGTTGGAAAGAATTCGGCGGAGAAAGGGTGAAGGAAACGAGCGAGGGATGGATCGTTTAGGAGGAGAGCAGGAGGGAGGAAGATGGAAGAAGGAAGGTGTAGAGGGAGAGAGAGAGATGTATCGTGTTTAAGGGTGGGAGATGGCGAGGGGATGGCGAGAGGGGCTGCAATAAGAGCAGAAACATCGGTGCCAGATGAGTGTGCCGTGAGTCATGCCGC